TTCAGCTAGCTCTGGAACTTCCAGCTCGGTGGCAGCTCGGCTCCGCCTCTTTGCCCTTATTTGGAGAAGGCGGGAGTTGAACTCTGGCGTCACTGTCGAGCCGTTAGTGGCCGACTCCGCCTACTAAGGGCTTCACGGCAACTCTGCAGAATCCTATGGGTGACGTCACGGACCCTACGTCCATTTATATATACAGTCTATGGTTTGAACGTATTTGCAGCAGTAAATGTGGCTGTCTGGCCACTGACGTTGCCATAACAACAACACCTGCATTTAAATGTGCAACCTCTTTTTGTGACAGATTTTGCATGAAAATATAATTCTTCTGATTTTATATTTCCTATTGACAGCTAGTTTCTATGTGAACATTATGAGATGGACAGCCAGCTAACAAGCTTTTTATACAAATATTTCAGATCAAAGCCAATCCAGTGGGGCTCCTGAAAGGGAGCAAGGGACACTATGCTCCCAAATATTAAGCCTTGACCCGCATCTTAAAATTGATATGATCAAAAAATGATCTGCATTGTCGGAGGCCTTTTTTCCTCATTATCATGTCAAATTGTACAGCTTTCCTTAGTGTTGAATGCAGAAAGATGACTATATTCAGGGGTGCACATAACTTTTTTGCCCTGGTTCTCAAAGGAGCACCTGGAGATGTTGCTTGGTGCTCATCCTTAAAATGAAATAAACCGTAACTTTTGAGGGGGTCTTGACTTTATTTGCCAGACACACGGCACTGAACACACATGCAGAGGTGAACACAGAACACACATGCAGAGGTGAACACAAGACAACATTAGCACGACCAGTAATCCTACAAGCTGTCATCACTACCCTCCTGACTGTTCTCCTCACTGTCTTCCTCTCTGTCAGACATGGTAGCTGATGATGTAGGCCTACTTCTTTCTCTCTGATTGAGTCTGTGATTAGCTGCTTGCATCCACAAGTCAACAGCTGGTTTTGGGTCGAAAGTCTCTTGTTGTCATCTTAGACAAGTGGATGTAATCAAATAAGTATGTGAACATAACCAATAACCTACCATAGCAAATAACAAATGAATGTAACTTATTTTATTTATGTTGTTCATTCATATCTTATTTTACCTTAACATTTATTTATTTATGCATATTTTTTTATCTCTCCAGTTTTAAAGGATATTTTTGGTTACTGTCCTATAGTATACATTGGAATGATTTCAAACCTGTTTATCCCAATAATTATAAAGGAGTGCCTTGAAAATATGTGTTTACATAAATTGTGACCAAACTGTTTGAACTTAGACTAAAGTGAACTATCTAAACACTCAGAGTCCTTTACCTCAATGAGCTGTAGTATCAGCCTCTCAGTCTGACTGGAGAGGACTCTCCCTCCACATTATTGTAGAAACATCTTCTTCTTCCGTTAGAGCGGCTAGCACCAGATGCTAATAACAACAGCGCAGGAACCGGTGCACCCTCCCTCTCTCCCACGCTCACTCGCACTTTGGCTGTGAGCTGCGGGCGCCAGATAAGCCAATATCCCCCATTTTCATCACTTACAGCGCCCATCGTATAGGGCAAATGAAACGTGTAACCGGGGTGAAAAGGGTGTTACATTTACTTAATTGTGAATATTGTTACATCAAGGCCGAAAATTAGGATGAGCCCCAACGGTCAAAAATGTTTTTTTCCCTCCCAGAGCTGCCAGCGCAGCGCCTCCACAGATCTGGCGCCCTAGGCGAACATCTATTACGCCAGTGCTACGGGCCGGCCCTGAGTTCATATCATAGGTTCATATGCAACTCGCAAATATATTTCTCTCTTTCTCTCTTCTCTTTTCTCTCTTCGCTCTCCTCTCTTCTCTATTTTCTCTTCTCCCTTCTCTCTCTTCTCTCTCTCCCTCTCTCTCTCTCAATGTTGGTACGCAAATGCGCCTTTTTTCAAATGACACGGTGCTCTTTTTTTGGCGGAGGTGCGCATGCGCACCTGCGCACCAGTTATGTGCAGCCCTGACTATATTAGAGTATTAAGTGAAAATGACTATATTAAAGTTTTAAGTGAATTACTGAAACTGCATTTGTATAGGAATGATTCTGTCCTATTGGCAGATAACTACTCTAACAGTGTCTAAATTTAACTATTTTCAATTGGTTAGTATTACATTTTGTGACAGTGTGGTGACACTCATTTTAATGAAGACAAATGTGTGTATTTTGAAATTCATTTATTTGACAGAGCTGGAAACTGATACATACTTGTTTGTGTTTACCTACACAGTCATCACAGATGAGCCAAACAGAGTAGAGGATGAAGAAAGGAGAACAGGAGAAAGGGACACACAAGAAGGAGATACAACAGACAAGAACGACAATGGAGACAACAATGAACAGGAACACCAGAACAGACAAGAGTCAATGAGTAACATGACTGATTTAGGGACTGCAGATACAGGGCCAAGGCAAGTGAGACATCACTGCTTTCCATCCAGCATGTTTGGCCAGCAAAAGAGATCATTTCAACCGCAAACAGCAAGTGATGAGGGATTATTATTTCCTCCTTCCATCCCTTTTTTCTGTTTAATCTGATTACTAACAACTTCTAATAATTTGACATAGTTTATGATTTTATTTTATTTTTTTTTAAATAATAAACCCGTTTCTGATTCTGATTCTTTGATTTATTTTTGACATATGGGTGTTGAGAGATGTATCCATATCTCTTAATGTTGCTCTCAAAGTGCACAAGATTGATGCTTTTAACTTCAGTATTTAAAAAAAGTCTTCCTGGGGGACCCCAGAGGAGGTGAGTTCCCCCCAAAATAGCACTTTATCTCTGCTTATGTAACTCCGGTGTAGTGTCCCCTCGTCAACAGATTACTCAGAGCTGGTGATTACTTTCCTGCATTTCAATGGACAGCATATAAAAAGGACACGTGAGCTGCATTGCTTAAGAGATCCTCTCATGCTATCTCTTTTACAAAATAAGTGTCCAGTCAACAACAAAACATCAGTGATCGTATAGTGGTAGTATATTTTTCACAAGCAATGTGAAACATTAAACTTATACAAACTGGTGTACAAAACTCACATACCTGCGTTGATCTCCTGGAGTGTCTCTACTCTTTCTTCTCCACATCTCTTGTCCACCATCAGAGATTGCAAACATTTCAGAAACAGCTAGAGGTAGGGGACAAACAACTTGTTCGCTGGGCATGTCAAAAACCTCCCTGCTTTGATCAAGACTTTAGGGAGCCTTTCAGCCCCTCTAGCAAAGGGACTGGAAAGCAAGCTTTGAAAATGCAGTACCATCTACATGCTGTCATGTTCCAGACACTGCTCTCAACCACTCAGGGCCTGCACAAATACCTGCAGAAAGAAACAATTGACTTGGTGCAGGCAGTAGATTACAAAACAGCAGTTGAGAACACACTGAAAAGTTACCAAAGTAACGAGAAAGCACATGAGGTCTATGACAAGACCAAGGCCCTGTGCAATGATCTTGATATTCCCGAAACTGTGACCCAGGAAGAAGCATAGATATATTGGAAGACTTTGTAGGCAAGGCATCATGTGGAGCAACATTAAACATAAATAAACTGGTGTACAAAACTCGCATACCTGCATTTCAATGGACAGCATAAAATGACTCGTGAGCTGGGTTCTGGTGCTCAGATTAGTTATTGATGATCACGTTGATAAATCATATAAAACAAATAGCCAATCACACTAAAAATATGTTGCTGTGACTGTGAGCATTAAACAATTAACATTAAACTAAACAAACACAACAGTACGTTATTGTCCTTATAAAATAAAAACATACATTTAGTCCACCGAGATAATACAGGCACCTTACCCTCAAGAGATCCTCACGTGCTATGAGAATCTCCCACAATCCATTGCCATAACAAAGCTAATGCAGGCACACGTTTGTGACACCAGATGGCGCAATTGTGTATGTGCGTGTCTTGCAGTAGAACATTTGACTGTAGCGCCGCCACTATGGGCTAAGCCCCGAATGTTTCCAGGTCCAGGCGACGCCCCTGGTCAAAGCATTAATTCATGGATTTGACTAACCAGTATCAGTATGTTGTTACTTTGGCATCATTTTGAAACGTGTATTACAATTAAATCACGGTAAAATATGTTCATTTTGTTGTAGTTGTAGGCAGCCCCCTTGCCAGCGATTCTCTCTCTAGTTTAGCATATTCAGCCCGGTTGTGTGCCCGGAAAGAACCTGGATTTTGGAGGGCCAGAAAAACTGTGAAAACAGTACCCGTTAGCTGAAACTACCCCTAGTGGAAACGCAACAAAAAACGGGTCGGGTTTGGCACGGCACGCTTAAACCGTGCTACGCGCTGCAGTGGAAATGCAGGGAACCAAAACTGCCATGTCATGCTGGCAGCCATGCTGAACACCCTGTACTGTAGAGCATGTATTTCTGGTACAGTAACAAACAACAGATAACTGTCCTTTACGTTTTGTGAAGACAAATCTAACTTAAATATATACTGTATTTTGTGAATTGTCATAAAGTTATATAGGGCTAGATCATTTTTTACAGTATGATATAATATGTATTGCATGTCTAGCTGAACCAGTAATTCATTGAAAGTATGGTTGCACTGACCTCTTTGGGTGACATTTTAAGATTGTTGCATGTGTAGTGTGCTCACTTAATTTTAGTATTCCATCTGCTAGATGGCAACAACAGTATGATTTCATCTTATATAAAAATAAACTTCAAAAGTATGAACTAAACTACTTATCATTTAGATAGAGTTTAGTGTTTAGTGAGTTTCTAAATGTATGCACTGACTGATCCGTTGAAGCAATAAGGAAACAAATCACTTTTCATACAGCCTTTATGAAAGTGTATTCAGTCTCAGAAAGTTTAATCTTGCTCTATTTAGATTAAGGAGCAGCAACTGACATTATTTTCGATAAAGACCTGAATGTCAAATATAAGGTCCACGGGCCATGCTTGAGGTACAGGCAATAATATCACAAAGTACTTTAGTTGTATATTTTAAATGTTTATTGATACAGCCCCATGCTGCTTTGGTTTCAAAAAGGTCTTAACAGTCAAGTAGTTTGATAAAAGAAAAATAAGCAGGTCACTGAAACAAGAAACATATATTTTGTAACAAAGTATCCTTGGCTGTTTCACTGAATAAGTCAATACTGTACACACATTTAGGCCTTACTGTTTGTAAACCATAACCAATAACCCTCTATAAATCAGAATAAAACATGTGATTCCTACACAGCTAATATTAAAATCATTACTTAACATTGAGATTTTTCTCCTTCATGTTTCAGCAGTAAAATAAAAGCAACTAGTAGCTGTTTTCAGAAGTCACCTGCTCCACAGTCCCATAATACATATTGTAACCACAGGAGTAAAGCAGAAGGTGCTGTGCTAAAGATATGAAAAACATATTTACAGAAATATTCAAATGTCTATACAGACAATGTTATACTAGTTAGACTAGGAAGAGTTTAACATTTTGAGAAACATTTCAGTTAGATGAGAAAATTCATACCACTAGCCTAAAGCTAAAGCCGGGAGCCAGTAAGCATAAAGACTAAAGGCAGGTAGAAAACAGCTAGTGGTAAGAACGTGACATGATGGATCCAGATTTGAACTTAATCTGTACAAAAACAGAAAACAAGCACTGGTTTTTTTAATAGAGGATTTTGCAATCTTAACACATCTCTTGGTAAACAGTCAGGAGCAGTAGAGGCACTGTACAGATTTGTCAGGTTAATGGATAAACATAAATACATTTTTGCACAATAAATTGTGAAGCTATGACTCCCTTACTCGCTTAGTTGAACACATCCAACAAAGGAGTTGCATCATGTTTTAATATGGGTTGGTAAGTGCATTATAAACCCTGACAGAGTGGTAGGTTTTTTTTTGTAGCATCCAGTCTTTTTGCTAAACATAGCTATGCACCTCCTGGGTCCTGTAAACTCCTCTTGAACAAGAGAAAAGTATTTTCTAAGTTGTAATTGCTACTTAAACTGCTGAATTCTGGCAGCTGTTTGGTCATTCTCCTGACTGCTTACAAACGGAGAAGTGAACAGTGGTGGTGCAGCCACTGAAGTGGAGTTTGAGACTGAATTGATATGAGTGCTAGTGCCTACTGCCACGGAAGCAGTGGCTGCTGGGTAAAAATGGACATCTACTGCCACTGTAGTGAGGCCCAGGGAGACTTGGTGAGAAAGAAGCAGGGGATGGTTGCCATGTGAGATGCTGAGGCTGTGGTGGATGGGCGCTCCACCTGCCTCAGCACTTTGAAGGGTTAATGAGGAGCGCAGGCCCTCCTGATGCCTTGATGGTGGAGAGGGGGAAGGTGAATGGGAGGGTAAAGATGATGGGGGAGGCAGGACATTGTGGCATGGGCTGCAGCGGTTATCTCCTCTGCTACTGGTCCAGTCCTCAGCACACTGCAGCTGGATGCTGGGCTGGGACAAACTGCTGCGCTTCTCCTCCTCCAGAGAGGGATCAATCTGAAATAGTATAATGACAATAATGCACATTTAACTAATTGAATTAACTATAAGGTAACATTTTGGCACCATGAGATGTCGAAAGCTATGCAGTTCTCAAATCGTTGCCAGTTGAGAGGCAAATGTAGAACAAGAGAAGGTCACTGCAGTAGTTATCTTGAAATTAATTTAGCTTTTCATTTCTTCAACATTCTCATGATGGACAGTTAAGAGAAAAAATCATTTCAGTTCAAAATAGTTTTCAGACATCATATTTTGTATTACATAAAGTCTTCATGTACTTCCTAATATTATGCTTACATTACCCACAATGCAACTTGGTTGCTTAGAGGTTAGTCTGAGATTTGGATGTGGTATGCTAATCTAATCTATTTGCATGCAAAGATGGCCAATGGGCTATTATAAGTCTGGTAAACTCACTTCTTTCTAATCCCTTTGTTTTTATTTATTTTTTAACCTTAAGGAGATTTTTCACACTTTATTTTCTGAACTACCACAGCGCTACATTATTTGTTCAATCTGTGAATGCCAAGTCATCCTAAATTTAAAGTCGGAGAAAGAATTTCCCTGGACAGGTTTTCATGTGTTTCTATTAATCAAACCTTTGTGTCGAGAATGGGCTCAGGGTAAGTTTCTACAGTGACTGAGTAATCATCCAGGGCAGGCTGTGTGTCCTCCTGAAGATCCTCAAATGTAGGCTCCATCTTCACCGTGACCAGGCTCAGGCCTGGAGGAAGGGCTCGGGTGTCTGATGTGTTAGGGCTCTGCTCAATCACTGTCACACAGTCATCATCTTCAAAAGCTCTGAGCATAAAAACAACATTCTTACAAACAGTCAAAGAGATCACTTGCAAGGCCACGCTCATGTATTTCTATTCCTGTGAAATAATGCAGATACCTGTTTTCATACGAACGTCCTTCAGCACGACATTCAGTGTGTCTTATGGGGATACCTAGATTCCTCTGAGCTGCCAAAGACATTCAAAATGTAAAGGAATAGTTTGGCATTTTGGCCAACATGTTTTATTTGCTTTTTGGTGGAGAGAAAATTGACACCACTCAGAATTTTTACTTTGAGACAGAGTCAGGCTGTTTCCTCCTGTTTTCAGTCTTTGTGCGAAACAGCTAAGTTTCCAGGCTGCTGAGCATTCCACACATTTAGAAAAGCAGCTAATATACTATGCGAGACTCTCTATTTAACAGTAACCTGCTGCCAACATTACCAACAATGCAACTGGACAGCCAACAGTTCTAAAAAGATCTGGAGTTCTAAATGGCTAATGTAGCTTCGAGCTGTTAGCCACAGGCAGAGATATAAGAGATAAGGAGGGTAACATACAGTTTAATTATCAAAGTTGCACATTATTATTTATCTGGCACAAAGAAATACTTATACAACTTTCTTTTTAGATATATATCCCAAAACCTGTAAACAGTCGTTATCGGTAATATAATTCACCTTATTAAAAGACATGATAGTGGTATCAATGTTATATCTTAATCTCTACCCTAAAGCAAATAAGCATATTTCCCAAAATGTGATACTGTCTTTTGAAGAATAAAGATTTTTCTGAAGTTTACCATGATCAGAATGTGAATTAGGTGTGCTGACATTTGAGGCATCTGAGGATCCCTGACCTGCTCGGACGGTTGGTGCAGCTTCATTCTTCTGGACCACTGCATAGAAGGTAACAGTGATGAAGATGAAGGCCAGAGATACACCCACTCCCACCACAATGGGGATGTCATGTTTCTCCAGCACTGGCAGCCATGATGGAGACTGCTGTGTTACTCTGGAGCGTAAAAAAACAGAAACATCATGATATCTTCATGTTTTTAAAAAGAAACACTTTGTACAGCTTCATCTTCACTACACCCATCACGCCTCACACATAGCTCACAAATGTTGATCTACCTGGGGTCATTGCTGGTCATAGGTGATTGGGAGGTGTTCCTCTTCAGCCACTCTGTAAGTTCTGAGTTATTGCCAGATTTAGTTGACTGAACTGGGTCACCTTGCTGGCTGGTATTCAGCTGTACCTGGTCAGACATGTTGACCTGATGGACAACAGGAATCTTAGTTTCCAGCGTTGAAGGATCTGAGGTTTGATGGATGGTTGAGATTGAAGTGTGGTTTTTGTTTTGGAGTGTAAAAGTTTCAGTCTGTGCCAGAGGAGATTGTGAGTGGAGCAGTGGATGTTGTGTTGGAGACGAATGAGCAAGCAGAGACATGGTTGAAGTTGACTGAGTGTGAATTGGGTTCTGTTGAGGCTTTGTGAACGGAGAAGTTGGAGGTTGTGAGGCAGGCAGATAATGTGGGATAGTCCATAGCTCAAGATGGTACTTCGTAAAAAGACTTGGAGTAAATGTTTGCCGTGTGTCGGATTCAGATATTTGTGAGATGGCTGGTGATGGCTGCAGATCTGTTTTCTGGTGTAAAAGTAGACTGTGGCGCTGGGGTTTGGTTTGAGAAATGTGAGTTGAAGTTGGCTCATGGTAGAGTGAGTATATTTTACTTTTGGTAGTCAGTTTGTGTGTTTTTGTTTGGCGCAACTCAGCTTTTGAAGCAGAAGACTGAGTAACTGAACCAGAATTGGTCATCTTAGCTGGGGTTACAGGACTCTCTGTTGTAGTCGATGAATATGAATCCTTTTTGAGAAAGCCAAAGGGTTCACCCAATGAAAGGTTGGACGTCTCAGTAAAGGGCTGTATGATATGACTGGCTACAGACACAGCATGGATGTTAGAGCCCTGAGGATCAGGTTTTATCAACAATTCGTCACTGACTTGCTGCTGAAATTGTGTATGTGGTGATGTTACTCTCAAATGGAACTGACTTTCAGTAAGTAGATATGTCAAGGTTGTACCCAAAGCTTTGTTGGCGGCAACTGATGTCTGGCTGAGTGTTATCGGTGGTTCACTTTTTGAAATCATAAGAGGAGCTCTAGTATGCTGCAGGGGTGAGTAGATATCTACTGACTGGAATTTGGGATGTGGAGGGGGTAGCAACATAGGAGGCTGCATCTGTGTGACTAACGACTGAGTTGGACTGGTTGTTGGATGATTTGGGTTGTGCTGTAAAAACCAGCCAAGTGGTCGGGATGGCATCTTTAGCTCGGCCACTGCTCCCTTTAAGAGTGGAGGCGAAGAAGGTGCTCTGTTTGTTGTAGCATCACAGTGGGGTAAGGAGCCTGGAAATAGAACAAAAAAGTTGACAGGAAAAATATGTTTTACTAAAATTTGAAAAACAAAAGAAAAATGTCTTTTAAGATATGTAAAACTGCCAAAAGACCAGAACTATCACTAATACATTCTATACTTCTACATTTCTATTAAATACAATCAATTGTTAGCAATATTTAGCATCAACGCTGTAACTAAATCAAGTTTCACATAAAAACATAATATTTGCTTGGCTACCCTGGGTGGCCATTTCAATATTGGCCTTTATTTTATCCTGTGCAAGATCTCAGCAATTTCTTGACTATAACAATGTTGTCATAACCCATAGAAGTATTTTTCCATACATGCGGCCTCATGTTGCTGTGCCTGCACATGTGGATTATGGGTTGTCCCAAGATGTTGCTCAGCCATAGAGTCACTGGATTGGGACACTGGCAGGTCTTTGCTTGTTTTGGTGCTCTAGAAAATATGAAAGACTCTTAGTTTCAGGACTGGCACAACACATTGATACTATCAGACATGAACTGAGCCACGAGAAAACGAATTGGCATGTATCATGACACAAATATCAGAGAAGTGATGAAAATTCACAAAATGTCAAGTTGCAAAGACCACGCACATTTAAGAAAATGTCATAGTTGCCACGAATGAAAACTGGACATAGAGTTCTCACATTCATTTTGTAGCCAAACAGTGTCACACACAATCCAGAGCAGAGATTTGACAATTTCCTGGTTACTCACAGCAGACAAAACCAGTCTTGTCTGTTTGCCTCTATCAGCTGGACGATGTTCAGCTTAAGACAGAGGACAGCATTAAAGACAGCATGGAGAATTAAGTATTTCATATGCACTGTTTCTTCCAATAAAAAAATAAATTCATATCCAATGCCTTGGCAACTAAAGGTACTTTAGTACTTTAAAATGACAAAGTAAGAAAGCAACATTGTCGTATAACTATATAGAGAGTAAGTACTTCAAAGTTAAAATATCTAAGTTGTGTTTTTAGTTGTATGAGGTATTTTCACACTGCAATTGAAGAAGAAACAGTGACATTCTGTTGACACACCTGTGACAGCGAGGATGCTGCGTCTCTGATGTCGTCCGGCTCGGTTCTCAGCAGTACAGAAATATTCCCCGAAGTCAGAATACTGCACATTTAAAATATGCAGAGTTCCATCTTCTGCTTGGACCACAAGATATAAAGTAAAATGAATCACAGAGAGCTCAAACAAAGTCAAATCCATTTAAGAAATATGAGATTATTCCAAGGATGTTTGCTTCCGAAAAAGCTTGCACTGAAAGACCTGATGGAAATAATGGCAAAGTGCCTCTAACCTTTACTTTCACTCACCATCAATGTGTCTGTCCTCAGTGGGGCTGATGGCTGAATATGTCTCTGCTCTGCCCTGGGTCCAGCTGTATTTGATAGGCTGAAGCCCAACAGCCATGCAGGGCAGGTCCACTGCCTCCCCGATCCTGCAGCTCACCCGATCTACGAAGGTCACTATGATGGGACTCACTGGGATGAGAAAAATGTAATACAATACACTTTTTTACAAATGAAGCAATATCAAATATTTTTCTTAAGAGTATTGTGAATATAATATAATGTTGAGAAATGTAATGTATTTGAATTGTACCCCCTAAAAGACTCTTTAAGAAAACATCTAAAAATCGAGAAAATACCCTTAGACTCCAGAGGGTTAACAGGTATTCCTCTAATACAATTAGAGAGAAAAAAACAGACTTTACTCAGTAGCAATAGGCTCTATACTGTGAATTGTGCATACAACTTTGAATTGACGAAATTGACTACAAGATTTAAAGTGATGACTTTATTGGAGTCTGTATTCAAGTTTTTTTTTCAATCCTACCTCAAGAGTTTTAGGACATTTTGGAACATTTATGCAAAAAAAGTAAGTTTTGACATGGTCCTGAGTGACTTGACCTGGACTTCAGCTATTGATTTTGAGGAGTAGTCGACACAATACATTGCATTTCAGTTTATGTTAAGATTACCAGCCACTTTCAGCATTGCTGTGTTGCGGCTGTGGCCCAGAGTGTTGGAGGCCTCGCACACATACGCTCCTTCATCGTAGTTCCGCGCTGAATTGATGTACAGTGTGGCATTTCTCAATCTGTATGAGAAATATGTCAATAGTCATTTATTTCACTTCATTTAGACTTTTCTAAGTATTTGGATTCTTTGTTAATGATGGTATGCAAGAATAACACAGTTTCCTCAATAATCAAAGGTAACAATGGGTGATTGATGTACAAATAGTACATTTGCAGGTGAAGTATCCCTTTAAGTATATGTAATTTAAAGTACTTTATACTGTACCTTCAATCAACTATATTTCTAAATGGTTGCTGATCAAACCCAAGCACTTTAAATCAATTGTACCACAGCAAAAAAAAAATGTGTTTAAAGCTTGCAACACAAAAAGATGAACATCTGAGTTCTTCATCCTCAAATTATAAAATACCGAAAATATTATGAACCATTTTTTGCTTTTCAACAAAAACACATTGACGTACCCAAAAACGATTTTCCCTCCAGTCTGCTTGGAGTGGCCTCTCTTCACCCAGCTGATGGAGGGTGGAGGATGACCGGACACCTCACACTCCAGCACCACGCGAGCCCCCATAGGCACCGTCAACACCTGGGGGCGCAGTTTCACTGATGGAGGGGCTGCCAGGAACAGAAAATAATGATTGTTATTACACACACAAGTTCAGCTTCCAGATGCACAGTTTGGGGGCTTTTTTGAAATTACCCACCCAGCACAGACAGGGTCGCTCTTCTGGAGGTGAGAAATCTTTGAAGGTGGATGTTGGAGGCTCTGCAGAAGTAGCTCCCACTGTCATCCTCCTGGACACTACAGAGAAAAAATCAAGACATACACTTTTAGAAACGTTTCAAGCCTGACATTTAGTTATAATATGAGCATAAATATTGCATACGGTTATGTTACAGCACACCAATGTACAGACATAAACTGCACGCACTGAAAACACGTAAACTATGACTTTAATTAAATGTATTACGTCAACAAATGTCACTGTATTAGGTTAGTTGACGCAATCATATTTGAATTTAAACGTAATATTATTGCTTTCAACGAGCCTAATACGGTTATGTGAAATGTGTTACCTTAATACATTTAATTAAAGTCAATGTTTCAGTCTTTTCAGTGCATAAGGCATGTCTTTAAAAACACTAAGTATATGCACGCACACACACACACACACACACACACACACACACATACACACACCTGTAGAAGAAGAGGTCTCCACTGGGCAGCATGGTCTGATGGCCTTTGGGAGAGAGAAGCTGGCTGTTTTTGAACCAAGCCACCTGTGCTGCTGGTCGGCTGTATGGGGGTCTGCAGGTGACTGTAACATTTTCTCCCCTCTTCACCGTCTGGTTTACAGGCTGCTGGACGAAACTCCATTCCATATCTAGAAACACAACATGTGTGTCACTTAGAAATGAGTGTTTCAATCCTGCTGAGTATGTACTAATCCCTGTTTCGCCGTTACAACTAAGCCAGGCATCAAGAGTCATGTTTCGTGAGTAGTTGTTGTTTGATATATGACTGTACAAAAGAGTCTAAGACGAGCCATATTGTAAAATAGGTAAAACAATCAGTAAACAGTGGAAAAAAACATGGAATATATTATACTATAATAGATACTTTTATATTTCTGTAAAACCATTTAACCATGTAGTGTTTTTATTGTTTCAGATGTGTGTTCTTTTTCTACTTGGCTATTACACAAAAGCCAAGGCTAATACAGGAAATGTTTACATTACGTTAATTCTCAGATAACAGATGAACAATTAAGTGTAGTTTTAGATTTAGAAGTTAAATCAGCCACAATGTTATTTGACTTGACACAGCAGTTCACGTTCGAGCAGTAAATATTATTCACTCGTAATAAAAATAGTGAATTAAAAATGAAACAGTTTACTACAGATGTGGTGCACAGTACCGGCGGTCAGCAGGAAGGCAGGCTGCGACTTGATGGTCTCTTTGTGGTTTGACACTTCACAGTGATACGAGCCCTCGTGCTCCCGTGTCACGTTACTGCACACAACACAGAAATAAATTCAGTCAGCAGTACAAAAGCTCCACACGGTGTGGATGAAAACTATAGGTTTTATATTAAACATATTCATGAGCAAAACTCAATGCTACATTTTTATAGTGCATTGTTCTTTTCTCATCATTACAATTTCACAATAAAAAATGAATATTCCTCTCGTCCCGTGCAGTGCTGGACCTGAATGTGAGCAGCTGTCCATTGTTCTGCAGGCTGAACGAGGACGAGCAGTTGGACAGGAGGCAGCCGTCTTTGAACCAGTGCACCATGGGAACAGGGAAGCCGCGGACAGCGCAGTGCATGGAGACCTCTGTTCCCATAACAACGGTGATGCTGTCTGGGCCGTGGATGAACTGCAGCCTTCTAGGGACCCCTGCAAGGTAGAGTTACAATGCTTTGAGATAACAGATAATATATTCAAATATCTCTTTTAATAGCACCAGGTGTGAAAATGCTGCCCATGGTTTGGTTTGTAGGAAAAAGGTTGTTATAGGCACACAACCTCTCCATCTTTAAACATCGAGACTCAGTCAATCACCCTGTCATGAGATGTATTACCAGTGATCTCTTTTGTAAGCATCATTGTATTTTATGTGATAGAGTTGGATGGTCTTCTGTCCAAGAGAGATGTGACACTCATATGGAAGAATACTGTATAACTGTTCAGAATTGCTCCGTCAACACCAGGCACACTCTTACTTCATGTTTCACGAGCTTGAACACGGAAAAAAATGCTTTTAATTTCGTACACCTTACTCCTGTAACAGAATACAGCACCTCCGTGAAATTGATTTACTTGCAGACTACTATTTGGACATTTAAAAAATGTATCTTAAACCTTTTGTCTTCGTTTTTGTAATTGACATTATGGCATTGTAAATGAAGGTCACCCTTCTTGATCTTTCTCAAGTAAATAAAGGTTGAATGATTGTATGAAATACTTTTTAAAAATAGAATACAAATCTTTAAATTGGGAACAGATCATTTGTCAGGCTTCCTAATAGTTTTAAGAGATATTTTCAATAGTAGAACATGTGTATAAAAACTAAAACATGTATATAAAGGACTCACCCTGCACAGTTAGTTGAGCCGGCTTGCTCTTCTTGCTGATGTTCAGTAAAGGATTGTGCGTTACACAAATGTATATCCCTTCATCCTCTAATGTGACGTTGAAAATATGCAGAGTGCCTGAGGTCTTCTTCTGATTACCACCTCCATATTCCCCCTAAACATGTACAGTTATGATACATTTGGGTCAGAAGTTTCAATAAAACTAGATAAGTGTTATTCGGTGCTCTTCAAATCAGTGCTCACCTGAATGTGTCTCCCTTTTGTGACTAATGTCCCGTCTTTGAGCCAGGTGATGCTGGCAGGAGGAGAACTTTCTCCTGACACACACTGGAAGAAAACTCCCTCTCCTTCTCTGACCGTCTGGACCTGCGGACTGAAGAAAACATCCTCCAAACCTGGAACACACAGGATAAATAATAATGTTAACATATGAGCATGAATAAATGTGTGATGTTGGACTGTCTTAAAATAAAAAAGGACAAAGACTCACCCAGTTCAGAGGAGACAGCAAAGCTGGACAGGATGAGTAAGCAGAGGTGGGAAGTCATCTGTGGGAGCGTCCAGATGGAGACACAGATCTGCATCCTACTGCAGATCTCTCGGAGAGGCATGAGGAAACCTCCACACAGCTTCATCCATGGTGTCAGCTGGGGCGTATTGTAGATGTGTTACATTTGAACTCTGTTGAAACTCTGCTGTTATGGACTTTGATGTAGACTGGCTGCTATGTAACAACTCTGTGTCTAGCGTTAAGCAGGTATTGCTAAATATCTACCCCAAAGGTTATTTTAATTAGACAGAAAAAGCTAATAGTTTTAGAAATACATTGTTATTTATGCATAGTGTAAAATGCTAAAGGACACTTATTATTATACTTATTAAAAAAAGTGAAAAACAGTGTCATGTACATTTAAAAATAGCATGAGACGAAGCCACCATAACATATTTGAGTCTGGGGGAGATAATCCAACAGTTTCAACCCAGCGATTTTAAGTCAGCAGCGTTATAGAAATATAGGATGGATATATTCTTCATTAATATGACATCTCACATTTTTCACTGCACTACTACCACTTCCTACACAAAAGCTGCCTTTCAACACCACTGAAGATGCCGTTTGCATAGATTCACTTCTAGCAAATGAATTCAACAGATGTATTTAAAATGTCTCTCTCTCTGTCTCTCTAGTTCTTAAATCCCCCCTCCCTCTTTTTCCCTTTGGCTTAATTCCTATTTTGGCTGTGAGTCTGTTGCACCGCAGCAAGCTCAGCTTTGTCCTCTTTAGTCCCTTGAATGGGCCCAGCCACTTTATAGAGCTCGCACTGTGGCCCTCCACTCAATGAAAGTAACATGAAAAGAGGCTGCGGAGCTTTGTACTATGAAGATCAGTTATTGGCCCTCTGCAAGGAGAGCTACCCGTCTGATCACATAGGCTTTCATGATCCTCAATAATGCCATGTAAGGCCTGATCCTTCATTGTTTGAACATGCCATACATTTTGATCAGGCAATGCTGAATTTGTAAGACAATATTAGGGAAAATTAAAGGTAAATATACAAAAATGTTGATATCAAGTGGATCATTTATGATTAAGGGGTCAAAACAGATTGTGTAAAGATAAAGGAAAATGGATTTGGTGTGCTTTCAAATGCATCAGTTTAACAGGTTTAGCTGATTTTTTTTTTGCATAAAAAGTACACTTTTAACCACATTTTGGAGAAAGAAATCAGAAGAAGAAAAAACAAATATGGGTTCTACAATTGTGCACATATTATGAGTTGGGCATAAACTAAAATACCTAAAAAAAGATAATGGAGCTAAATCTCCAGTCCAGTGCAACTAAATAATTGCATGAGAAGAAGGTTCAAGGTTCGTTTTTCCCCTAATTTCTGAAACTCACTTGGAGCGGAAATCTGGTTGTCGTAATGTAACTTAAATGTAGCCTTACGAGCTTAAATATAGATATTTGTTAGATGTTACATTTTGTTTCTTTAAATATCAACAAATAAATGACTTACATCCGCAATGTAATTTGTCCTTAGACAATGTCATCTACGGCACCTTTACATTCGAATCGTATGATTGTATTTGTATCATAACCACAATAGCATCACATTAGCCCTGTTGATGTTTATATTCAATATTATCACATTACATATTGCATTATGGTATGCTTTTAGAGGAACAAATAATTAAAAAGATGAGGAAATGTGTTTCCGAAAAATTCATTAAAAGTAATTAATTAGCCCTATTCCCAAAAAAAGCCCTATTGCTAGAGTGATGACATGCTTGACCCAATGAAAAAAACAAAAACCCCTTGATTTCACACATTAGAACATTAGTCATCACTGTTGAACTAAACACATTGATGAATTGCTTGTGGCTGGTTATACTCACATAATGCTGAGAGCCTGTGGGTGTGTATTTGTCTGACACCGCAGATCATTTACACTGTTTAGCATATCATTACAATGTCTTTAGCCGACACACTGACTCGTATGCTCCTTTTTTAATACAGATTTTAAAGGACACTTTTTTCTATTTGCTTTATCTTTAAATTAATGTAACAATTTATGAAATAAACATTTGATGCTGTTTTAACAAGATTTTACAACCCATTATTATCAATTCCATTGAAATACAGGTGAGAGTAACGATACTTACTTTGCACGTGTCCAAGGATTGCTCGAGCGTTGCTTTGCATTCAGCCCATTCGTCTCTGTCCGTCTGAAGTCTGTGCACAACCTCTGTTCTGCATTTACAGAGCTTCCAGCTGGGAGAGGACAACAGCTGCACGCATGTGCCAGCTAGACAACCTCCACCCCTTCTTCATACACAAACAAAAATACACACTCACACAAACACAATGTGCGTCCTCTTTCAAAGCAAATAGCTGTAATGAAGCTTGAAAGCCTTAACTGTACACTCATCATTTAGGCAGCAAACAAAAATGTATAAAATACACTCTCCTCGCAAAACAATATACTGTAATAAAATGTAAAGCCAAAAGACCACTGATTGCGTGTTTATGTCACAAAGTGAATAAAGTCAGTATGTTAGACAGTGGGACGGGTGGTTAAACCTTTTATAAATTGTTGCATGTTACATATAGTGTTGTGATTTTAATGTTGTGCGCTATTTAGCGATGAACTCTTTTTATTTACATGCTTGTTTAACCTCCTCAACGAACTGTCACAACAAAGACACACCGGCACCCAGTGAAAATCAGCGATCCCATTCGCCAGTTGCCAAATTCACTCCCCCATAAATACGCCGACTACCTGCTAGACGGCAGCTATTCTTCTCTTGACAGTTGCTGCCTCAACTCGCCGCAGAGCGGACCGGATCGGATCCCTCCTGCTCCTCCTCACCTCGCAGCAAATCGGACCGGATCGGATCCCTCCTGCTCCTCCTCCTCCTCCTCACCTCGCAGCAAATCAGACCGGATCGGATCCCTCCTGCTCCTCCTTACCTCGCCGCAGATCGGACCGGACCCTCCTCTAACCATCGGATTCAACGCTGAAACAAACTCCAGATAAAGGGAAGTGGCTATTTCTCCTGCTTTTGGGCGTCTAGTTTTACGTCACGAAAGTTACATTGTTGTCTCCTCCCCTGAGTCTCCTTTTGTTGTTTACCGAGGGCTCCGCTTCCAAGCGGACAGGACTTTCAGGATTTTATTAATCCCTGCTAGAACTGTAATTCTTAAGTAACTGGTTTATATTTATTGAACATTATTTTAACCTTATGTTATTATAAGTATTTATCAAAGGAGTGTTTTTAAGGTAACTTTGTACAAATAAACCATTTTACACCTATTGTGCTGTCCTTCTCGCTGTATTGGTGTGGCCGGGAATCCGAATCTTTTAATATAAATTTGATGTTAACAGGCCTCACTAGGCTGTTACATTAGTGGCGTTGTCGGCAGGATTCCTTTTCCACACCATACAGTGCAGAATGGCAGATGACGAATATGAAGCTGCAAGGCCCAATGGGTCATCAGAAAATGGGGGCAGGCTAGAAAATAGTCAGCCTGTGGTAAATGCAATGATGATGCCTTGGTTTATGGGTGTCCCATGGATCCCAAAGTTCAATGGTGACCGAAGCAAGATGTGTTTTTCTGAATGGCATGGGCAGGTTCAGGCAATGCTGAGGGCACAAGGGTTAAATGAGGAACAGAAAATTGATTTTATTTTTGGGGCACTTGAGGGTGACTCAAAAAGGGAGATGCGGCTGCTTGACCCCAACAAACTCTCAAGTAGCATAGCCATACTGCAGGAGTTAAAGAGACTGTATGGACGTGTAACCCCAGTAGCCCAGCTTCGGACGCAGTTTTTCAAATGTTACCAACAGGAAGAGGAAACTGCTGCTTCTTTCCTCCTTCGGCTCCGTGAACTATTCCACCAATGGGAAGAAATTGAACCAGCTGGCTCAGCCCAGGATGAGAGGACTATCCGAGACCAGCTTGTCCTTGGTTTGAAGCCCGGTATGGTACAACGGGAACTTCAACGGCAGGTGCGAAGAAATCCTACAATGTCCTTCCGTGAGGTGTCTGGTGAAGTTAAAGCATTAGAAGCTGAACTAAGGATGGAGTCTGCCTGTGCATCACGTGTTTCAGTGCCACAGCCACGACCGGCCATGGCACCACCTAGCCTGGAAGAATGGAGAGAAACAGTAAGAACTGAACTCAGGAAAGAAATGAAAGAGCAACTGTCCATTATTACAGAGACTCTTACAGAAGAGATCAGATGCCAACTCTCACCACACAATGCCCCAGTTGGGCACAGAGACTCTACCCCACCCCCTAACAGACTAGCTCAGAGGCCATAACGCATCCTCCCCCAGGCAACAAAGGTTCGAGTGGGACCAACGTGGCCAACCTATTTGCAGAGGCTGTGGGCAGGCTGGCCATATTCAGAGAAACTGCCAGCATGTAAGGGGGCCGTTAAACTAACAGCCTCAGCCACTGAGAGCCATGTGGTTGGGGAGGAGAATCAGGGAAACCAAGCAGACAGGCCCTCTATTGTTGGGGAGTGCCCAGGGGTTGACATACTAGTAGCAGGAGTAAAATTGCCCTGCTTGCTTGATACAGGCTCACAAGTTACGCTGTTTAGTGAAACTTTCTTTCAGAAATGGTTGAGTGGAGGACAGAAAAGAAACCCACAAGATCTGCACTGGCTAACGATCAAGGCAGCCAATGGACTAAAGATCCCCTACACCGGGTACGCCATCCTGGATTTCTCAGTGGGAGGAGTCACTGTGCCAGGAAAAGGAGTCATCATTGTCAAAGATTAGTGTCTGAAGGCGGAAAGAGGTGTACTAGGGATGAATGTGATTTCACACTGCTGGAAAGAACTGTTTCAGGGTGTCCACCCCGGGCTGACTGCATTCGGAGCCACCATGTCCCAACAAGCCAAAGGAGAGTGGGAACGTGCCTTTGCTGTCTGCCAAAAGGTGTCACAAATCGATTCCTCGGATGGACCGGTGGGAGTGGCCAGGTTGACCCGCCAGGAATCAGTGGTTGTGCCTCCAAACAGCGAGATGGTGCTCTGGACACAGCTGTATGGGGCAGAGATCAAGTCAGATTTTTGTGCCCTGGTGGAAGGACCAGAAAGAGATGACGAGTGGCAGGTAGCCCGCACCGTCGCCTGGGTGGTGAAAGGACGGCTCCCCATAAGGGTATGTAACCCAAATCCTTACCCAGTCACAATACCCCAACGGCGCCCGCTTGCTAATGTCTTCCAGGTTGAACCAAGCCAGATTCGGGGAGAAAAGGACCTTGTACTGAAAGCCTCAGACCCAGGTGTAGTAGAGGTGGATGTCCAGGTGAACCGGGTCACCGTTGAAGGCCAGCATCCAGTCAACCTGCTAAAAGGGGAGGGATTGTTGACCGAACAACAGCAGAAAATGGACTCCCTGTTGCAGCGATGGCGGGATGTCTTTGCAGCAGGGGATGAGGATTTTGGTCAAACTGATGCAGTCCTCCACTCCATCCCCACAGGCTCTACACCACCTAGCCGGGAGCGCTACAGGCCAATCCCACCAACCCTCTACCCTGAGTTGAGGAGCTTCATCCAAAACATGTTGGACACAGATATTATCAAGGAAAGCTCCAGCCCTTGGGCGGCACCCATCGTATTAGTAAGGAAGAAAGATGGATCCTGGCGCTTCTGTGTCGATTACAGAAGGCTCAATTCTCTGACTCACAAAGATGCCTACCCCCTGCCAAGAATTGAAGAATCCCTCACAAGTCTCAAACAAGCTGCTTGGTACTCCACTGTGGACCTCGCCAGTGGATTTTTGCAGGTGGAAATGGACCCAAAAGATCGGGAGAAGACGGCATTCACCACCCCCATGGGCCTCTACGAGTTCCAGAGGATGCCCTTTGGCCTTTGTAATGCCCCAGCGACTTTCCAAAGACTAATGCAGCGCTGCCTGGGAGGACAGGTCCAGGAGTCTCTACTGATCTATTTGGATGACGTGGTAGTATACTCCCTTGATTTTGACACCCACATTTAACACCTGGAGCAGGTTTTCGAAAAGCTGGCAGCCTGAAGTTGCAGCCCCATAAATGCCACTTGTTTCGGAAAAGGTCACCTACCTCGGACACGTCATCTCGAAGGACGGAGTATCCACAGACCCTGAAAAGACCGCCGCTGTAAGGAACTGGGCAACCCCTTCAACCATCAAGCAGGTACGGTCATTCCTTGGATTTGTAGGATATTACCGTAGATTTGTGAAGGGCTTCTCCAAAATCGCTGCTCTCCTAGTAGGTTCTGCTAGCATGCGACAAGGGAAGAATGCCGTGGATTGGACTGCAGACTGCCAGGTGGCATTCGATGCTCTGAAGACTGCGTTGGTGAGTGCCCCAGTTTTGGCCTTTGCCGACTTCGTAAAGCCATTCCATCTCTACACTGATGCTAGCCTAGGAGGATTGGGGGCAGTGCTATCACAAGTACAGGATGGCAAGGAGAGGGTTATTGCTTATGCCAGCAGAAGCTTACACCCCACTGAAAGGAACGACAAAAATTACAGTTCATTCAAACTGGAGTTTTTGGCCCTCAAGTGGGCTGTCACTGAGAAATTCAAAGACTATTTGTGGGGCAACAAATTCCTGGCTTTTACAGACAATAACCCACTTGTCCACCTGAACACAGCACACTTAGGTGCCACTGAACAGCGGTGGGCAGCCCAGCTGGCAAACTTTGACTTGAAATATCGCCCTGGCTCTGCAAACCAGAATGCTGATCTTTTGTCCAGGTTGCCACAAGACGCAGAACCCACCCAGCAGAGACAACAGTGGTGAAATTGGAGGACACCCCTGAAACTTGGACCAAGCACTGGTCCAAGTGAAGAGGTGGGTGGCAAGAGGACACTTCCCACTACCTGAGGAAAGGAAAGCCAGTCAGCCTGCAGTAAGACCTCTCTTGCGAGAATGGAGCCGGTTATACATCCAGGAAGGTGTGTTGAAGCGGAGAACTCAAGAGCGTCATACTGGGCTGAACCTCTCCCAAATTGTGGTGCCCACTGGCAAGACACAGGAGCTGTGGGAAAAGTATCACCAAGCCTCAGGACACATGGGGCATAGCCAAGATCGATGACCTGCTGAGGAAGACTTTCTACTGGGTAGGGATGGGAACTGACCTACAGACATGGGCGTCCAATTGTGCGAGCTGCACCCAACAGAAAAAGGGCCCAGAGGTAAGAGCACCTTTGGTTCCTATCCTAACATCATACCCTTTGGAAATTGTCTCAATCGACTACCTGTCTCTTGGCTGGCATGGCGACACTTACCCTTATCTATTGGTTATGACTGACCTTTTCACAAAGTATGGATGGGCTATCCCTACAAAAGACCAGACGGCAGCCACCACAGCTCGTGTTCTCTGGCGACACCTCATCCAGCCATGGGGTTGCCCAGAACGTATCCTGTCTGACCAAGGGGGAGCCTTTGAGTCAAACCTGGTAGCACAGCTGTGCAGCCTTTATGGGTGTGTGAAGGTCCGAACCACACACTACAGGCCCCAAGGAAACGGGGCCTGTGAAAGATTTAACAAGACTCTGTTGTCTCTTCTAGGATCATTGAGCTTGGCGGACCAAGTACACTGGCCAGACCACTTGCCTTCTCTGCTCCAGATGTAT